GCATGTTTTTTGTTTATAGCATTAAGAGTGGAACGGTTTTTATACTCTACATTCAATTTTAAGGTGAAAGTAGCCCATCTTGACTGGACAATGGCTTTTCCTCCTGCTTCCTTTTCCTTTCTTCTGTCAGCACTATCCTCTGTTCTAACAAAGCTTCTTTTTTACTTCAGTAATCATAATTGTCTATAATTGTAGCTTATTTTGCCTTTTCTTATTTCTTTCTTCACAGCATTTTCTAAGGCTCTAATTTTCTATTGACTACATCTCGGAAGGTCTGAACTTTCCAGTCTTCCCCTGGCTCTCCATCATTAAAAGCTCCTCTGGTTCACATCCATTTTTCTTGCCAAATCACTCCACTGCCCTTAACTTCTCTGTGTCATTAGAGCCCTTTCTTTTCTGACTTTACTGTTCCCATGAAGTCACGGATCTTTTGCACCTCTTCTTGCCCCACCTCCATATTCTCAAAGACATTCTGACTTGTGTCCTTGGTATTTCATTTTTTCCTCTCATCCTGCTGTATGCACTGTTGAAAGGGTTAGAACGATACATCCTTTGTCATTTCCAGAATCTCCAAATGCAGTTCTTGCAAATTTAGATGTTATTTTTAACCCTTACTTGGCTATCACTCACTGATTAGTAATGTTTTCTTTGCATTATTAACTACAGAAACACACTCATGTGCTCTTTAAATCTAGTGACTATTTAATGATAGTGGCTTTCCACAAACACCGGATTTGTGTTAATCTTTGGAATCAATGGAGCATTTTTAGTGATTCTGAAGTAGAACAAAGGTGTTGTGTGTATATTGATTGGTTGTTTGATTTCTATAGGATACCTTTCTTTCTGGGATTTTGTGGTCAGTTTGGATGTCCACCTTACTAGACCAAGATGGAGCGGGGAGGACTTTGGACTTTCCACAGGGCAGGGAACACTGACTGCCCCTCAGACTGGAGAGGGAGGGGGAGAGGAGAGGGGGGGGAGGGGAAAAGGGAGACGGGGAGGGAAATGGGAGGCGGGGAGGAGGCGGAAATCTTTTTTTTTTCAATAAAATAATTATATTGAAAAAAAAAAGAGTAACTGAGGTAGGCTCTTCCATTTTCTTAGAATTTAAGTAAAACCCTGATAATTTTGTCAGACAATATTATGAATAAGAGCCTAAGATTTATTTATATAAATAAATTGTAAGGTATTTAAGAAAAAAAAAAGCATTGGAGTTGCTCTGGGCCAGGTACTCAGCCTCCCTCCTCCAAAAAGACATGAAAAGATGCCTAGCCAGTTCTTTGGAAAGGTTAGAGAATGAAGAATCGGCAAGCTTTTTTTTTTTTTACTGTTACAGATAAACAGATGTTCCTCAATTTATAATGAAGTTATATACAATTTACTATTGTAGTTTACACCTAGCTCACTGAGCATCCTGGCTCAGCAGTGTGGTGTGCACTCCGTTGGTTACCTTTGCAATCTCCCTTGTGGGACTAGGTAGCTTGTTACCGTTGCCCAGCATGCCTAGAGCCTTTCATATGCTACATTACTCTTCAAGGAAGAGAGACAATTTCAAACGTAGAGGCACCATTACTATTGTGTGTGCTTTTTCTCCTTACCCCCATGAGTCAGATGAACTCATATGGATTGCTATGGTGGATTGGGGATGTCTGTAGTTCTTTAAGTAGCTACTCATGTTTGGTGTGGAGTCCTTTTGGCTCCTTTATTTGCTTTCTTCATTTTAAACAAATACAAAATTGACTCTTTGCTTCTCAGCATGTTTGGGGTGAATGTTTGGTTTGTTTTCAGCTTGTTTCCATGTTTTCTTGTCTCTCAGGAATTGTCCATAATTTCTATCACAATATAGCTGTTCCTTTCTTTTCCAGTATTATTTGTTGGACATTCAATTTATACAAGTGGTGTGTCCAAGTGTATGCACACTTCTGCGGTGTGTCCCAGCCCGCCATTTCTTCTACCAGTACACATCTGTAAATGCTTAAATGAGGAAGGTGTGTTTTGTTCTATGCCCCCATCTTAGATAGACCTCACTCAATCTCTTAAAATAAGTATTTATGATAGGAAAATGGCTTTCTGATAAATTCTTGTCATCCCATAACTCATTTTGTAAAATTTAAAAAAATTGAGTTCTTCTTTTAAGTACTGGAATTAAAGTATTATAAAATTGTATTTATTAAGGCGTACATCATTATAATCCCCATTACTTCTCATTCAGTAGTTAAGATGTTGAGATAGGAGCGGTGGCAGGGCTGCGTCCCCGGCACCCGGCCGCCCACATGGCTAGTTTATACCCAGAAACAATTACACGGAAACTGTATTCTTTCAAACTCTGCCTGGCCCGGCTAGTTCCAGCTTCTTATTGGCTAGCTCTTACATATTGTTCTAACCCATTTCTAATATTCTGTGTAGCCCATGAGCTGGCTTACCAGGGAGGATCTTAACCTGCGTCTGTCTGGAGCGGGAGAATCATGGCGACTCCTCCACTAACCTTCTTTCTCCCAGAATTCTCTTCTGTATACTCCGCCTACCTAATTTTCTATCCAATAAAATGGGCCAAGGCAGTTTCTTTATTAATAAGAAACCATTCCCACATCATTTCCCCTTTTTCTGTTTAAACAAAAAAGAAAGGCTTTAACTTTAACATAGTAAAATTACATATAACAAAACAGTTATCAAGTAAGAATTACAGTTACAATATTTATATCTATTTTATCTCTTATCATAACTAAGGAAAACTATAACTATCCATTCTTCAACTCCATCAAAGACTCCAGAAGGATATAATATTACCTATCAAACAAGAAATAAGAAAACTCTAGAAATGACAGAGACATCTCGCTGCCTGGACAGTCACCCAAAGTTCCTCTGTACCGTTGGGGCATCCATCTTCGGCCTACAGGCCCATGGTATCCAGAGACATTTCCATGAAGCAGGAAATTTCAAAGACAGTTCAGTCATTTTCTGCTGTGTCCTGCAGAATGTCTCGCAGACTCTTTCATGAATCAGGAACCCCGAAAGACCATCTCACCTTTAGGCAAGTTCAGCAGTCCTCTCTCTGCGGGTTCTCTGTGTCCAGTTTATGCAACAGTCCAGGCAAGAGCAGTTTCTTGCCCAAATGGCTATCAAACTCCATAAGGATTCTCTTCGATGCCCATCTTCCTCTTGAAATAGATTGGTGCTGCCAGGAGCAAATGTGTCTCATTGTCATGAAAAACCCTAAGTTATTAAAATATCTTAAATGCCATATTCTGCAGCCTTTGAAAGATATGAAGAATGCCTATCTAACTAAAATATCTCTCTATATATCTAGAAAATCTAACTAACATGACTACAAGCTTAACTATTAGCGATGATTATCCATTAACAACCTATATTTCCTAATTATACATTACATTTTTAAATGAACTACACAATCACAATACCTTAATCAAGATCAAAAATACATATACATATAACAAAATTGACCATAAAATCCATACCAATGCAAATTATTCATATCTATATCATATCCCCCTTTAAATGTAAAAGAACATTTATAAACAATATTTGGGAACATGGGCGTAGTTTTTTCTCTACAAACTGCTTCCTGCTGAATAGGGGCGTCGTTAATTAGGTTGTTCATGATATAACCTGTATGCTAGTTTCATCTCAGTTGGCAATTGAGCGAAGCAATTTTTTGAGGGTATTCACAGCAACCTTTCAGGAGGGCGTGGTCTATCATACCAAATCGGAATAGATGCAATCCACAGGGTCTCATCCTCTGCAAAAACAAAAGAAGACCCTCTCCAAAGCATCATATCCTTAGACCCAAATTCTGAAATCATAATACCCTTATATCCATTTTGGTTTAGATTGGCAGCCCATGTAATGAAATGTCTCTCTGTACTTAGCTCCTTCACAGTCAAAAATTTTAAAGAAAACACAATGTACATAATCCAGACTCTCTGTGAATTTTCCATTTTTACGTGGCTTATATTTCTTTATTTCTTTTAATCTATAACTCTCTGTACTTCTGTACTCTGTCTCTTTAAAGACTTTACCCTTTTTCTTTTTAAGACATTAACTTTATTCTTTATATTCTTTTTCTTCTCTTTCCCAAGCCTACGTACATTTATCCAACAGTGTCTGAATCTGTTTTATTGTGAATCTGTAATTTCTTTACTATACAGGAGCATTTCTTAAAATGTTAAGCATTTCTTAAAAACTTAAGTTGCACCATTTACAGGTAATACGGTACTGCCTGTGTCCTGCCCAGTCTAAACCTTAACTGCACGGTTTTAAGGTAATTACGGTAGTTCCTGCCTGAGATCAGCACAGTTCAGCATGGAGCAGCCGCTCCTGCCTCAGAGTCATTTGGTGCCCCTGAACCATTCACAGTTTCAGGCACACAGCAAGTCCACATTGGAGCCGCACTCAGCAGTTTAACTCTGAGACTGAGTGTGCAGCACAGAAACTCTTTTCATCCAAGTTACAGCCAAATCTGACATGCAGAGCACTGCGCAGTCTGAAAATGCGTCTCTGTATAGCGGCAGGAATCCGCCATGCTCTTCCGCCTGCCTAAGCCTGATTCTGCCGTCTGCCCAGGTGCAGGCGGGAAGCGCTGAGCCATCGGCACAGTCTCAGAGCACTCTCCTCCGATCCCAAGCGGGAACACAAACATCCAGTCCCATAAAAGCCTTGAAATGCTTTAAAGCCAGAGTTCACGCTGGCAGCACAGCCCCAGGAAGCAGCGCTTTAAAATGACGCGGCTTTTTTTTTTTTTTTTTTTTTTTTTGCTGTTGCTGAATCAGGAATCTCTCTACAGAACGCCACCAACAAAACAGCAAAAATCTGTGTTAAACTCTCTCTCCCTTATTTTTAAGCCTTCTCAGGTTTTTAAGTGGATTTAGCCATCACGTCTGGGCGCCATCTGTTGAAATAGGAGCGGCAGCAGGGCTGCGTCCCCGGCACCCGGCCGCCCGCATGGCTAGCTTATGCCCAGAAATAATTACACGGAAACTGTATTCTTTCAAACACTGCCTGGCCCGGATAGTTCCAGTTCCTTATGGCTAGCTCTTACATATTGTTCTAACCCATTTCTAATATTCTGTGTAGCCCACGAGCTGGCTTACCAGGGAGGATCTTAACCTGCGTCTGTCTGGAGCGGGAGAATCATGGCGACTCACTGACTCAGCTTCTTTTTCCCAGCATTCTCTTCTGTCTACTCCGCCTACCTAATTTTCTGTCCTATGAGGGCCGAGGCAGTTTCTTTACTAGTAAGAAATCACTCCCACATCATTAAGAGTCCATTTTGTCTCAGCTATTATCTTTCTCACATTATCCTCAAATTGGTGATGATTATTCTCTAGTTGATACATTAGTTTATATTTAATGTAGTTCTAAATTATCCTGCTGGGTTTCATGAAATATGAGCTAATTTTAGATACATTATACATTATGTAGATGACCCAGAGTAAACGACAAAAACAATGTTTAGAATTGTTTAGTCTTCGTCACTGGAAAAGCAGAGTACCCACCATATTTAAGTACAAAAAACCCAATCTTATGTTTATTCTAACAAAAAAATTAAAGTGTTATATTATTGTAGGTTTTTAAAAATAGGAATTCTTCTTTTGTGGCTTCCTCTCCCCATCCTTCTATGAAAATAAGGGATTATATTTTAAAAGCCAACTCAGATGTCTGAGTGACTGTAGAAAAGATGTGATTAGCAGTTTAAAACAGGATAATGATTGTTGCTTAAATCAAATTTAACTCACATTTTTAGTTTTTTATTGCCTATTAAATTAAAATCTTATTTTATAATTTTTTTTGGTATTGAAGAAAACCTTTACATATTTGTCTTTCAAATTGTCAAGTCGCTTTTCTGAAATATTGAGAGTTAAAAGTAAAGAATTAAAGCATCAGTCCTTCTGAAACCCTTTCAAGCCTAAACTCACAGATTATCATAAAGTTTAATAGGTGCCGCATTTCTCTGGATGCCGCTTAAGCATTGTACAACTTGGCACGCAATCCGTCACACTGCTTACCATCGCCTTTGCACATTTGCTGGGTGGCCTACGTTTTGTGTGGTCCTTTGGTAGGAGCTGTAAGCGTTATTTTAGAGAATATCTTTGGCCCTTTGCAGATGACATAGAAATAGACATCATAGAAAAGAAAGGAGTCGAAGTCACTGCAGATTCAGTCATGCCTTGTGTCCAAAGACAAGCCCTCTCAGTCTCACATAGCTTGCCTTTAGACATGTTGAACTTTGACCTCCGTGTGGCTTTCTGTGCTTTAGAGACCTTTCCTGCTAGTTCATGGACCTTGGTATTAGCAATATTCCAGACTAAAGGAAACAGTAAATCCTTATTTTGTTTTATTATTATTATTTTTTTAACAGGAGGGCAATTCAGTGACTGCTGAATGCCGAGTTCTGAGTTCTCCTGTGTTTATTTTCCATACACTTTTATACCCCAATACAAAAGAGGGGAAGAAGGCAAAAGGTCGCTTTAACGTGACACAAAGGACAACCAGAGCAGTTACTTGCTGTATTACTTCAGACATCAAGTCATTATTTCCTGAGGGAAGCATTTGATGTTTGGCACAGTGAACACACCCTAGGCCAAGCATCCTGTAGTTGTTGACAGCAGGTGTGGCTATAAAACAAGAGATCCTGACCTAGGGTGTGGCTACCTGGTGTTCTGGACATTAAGATGGCCCATGGAGGTGGATCGGCTCCACTCTGAACAAAGGTCAGAGAATTCAAGCCTTCTCCTGTGCTCCTTCATTATTCTGTTTTAAAGGGAAGAATAATGCATACTTACTGTCATTTATTAGAGTTTTTAGCTATCAACCATACTAAAGTATATCTTTAACAGCTGTATTCTCCCATATCTTTTTATTGATATGCATAACATAAGCTACCACAGTGTTGTTTTGAATCCCTGTACATTATTATCTTCTGCTCTGTCCAAACAATATGTTTTGTTTCTGCTTAACCCAAAGCAAGAAATTTCTTGTTATTGTTTTAAACAAAACCATCTTGTGTCTTTCTTCAAATATAGACTTTGGGTAGCATGATGTAGGGGACTAGCGTGGAGAAGAGAGCCAGCCTGGTGGGAGAAAGGGGTATGCAGGAGGATGCAAACAAAAGCTGTGGAGATGGGGACCAATGAGCATGAAGCTTAACACACGCATGCAGAGGTCGTGCTGAAACCCATCATGTCACGTGATATCTAAAACGTTTGAAAACCTTGTACTTTATTTCTTCTGTATATCATATAATTTGATAAAGGTAATATATGCTAGGAAAATGGCAAGAAATTGTCACCTCACATTTAAAGTGATTGTCTATGGGGTTCTTTCCCCAGTGTCCTATGGAGGACAAGCAGAGCAAACTCTGACTTTCCTTGCTCTCATAACAATTAGACAAGTCACCTTGCCCATTTCCTAAACTTCGAAATCTGTTTTTACAATATGTAACAGACTGAATAGGCAAAGCATGGTCTCTGCTCAGACAGCATCGGAGTCAGTCATCAGTAAGACTGCACTCATGTCTTTTCCAGGAAAGGGGGTACCTATAGATCGTGATGGTAAGTGGAATAAGGAGACTCTACACCACAGGTATCATGCTTCCTTCCATGTGTGGGATCTAGCGACAGGAGAGACAGGGGAACGGAGACTGTTAGGGAGCAGAAAGCAGGTTAGAGAGGAAGGGATCCATGAGATGGTAATGGAAGGGATTGCGATCGGAGGAAGCCTGTACAGCCATGAAAATGTCACAATGAGACCAGTTGTTTTGTTTACATACACTAGTTAAAAATAAAAAAAAATGGGGTAAACTCCATGTAGGCTTCATAGCTGTTGGGATAGCCTGTTTTTGATGTCTTATGTGTTTGTGACTTACTGGTTCTTCAAACAGTGTGACCTGAGCAGGGCACATTCCAGCTCAAGCTTTCTTTTCATCTCTTTACGTCCTGAAAGTAAGCAGTTCATTTCCTTAGGAGAATATACTGCTAGAAGACAGCTGCAAGTAACCTAGAAGGTCTCCCTGCTGACCTTGAGATGGCCACTACTGACCTTGAGATGGCTGCTCCTTCCAGTGCAGTCTCACAATGGTTGCTATCTGTTGTTGCTTTCCTAACTGACTGTTCAGTATGTGGGAGTCTCTCTCATTCTTTTCATTGGAAATGTGTATAATCAAGATGGACACTTTCTTTCTTGTAATTATTATTGCTCTGCTAGATTTTAATTATTTATAGCCGTCAGGCATTTATTGTTTTTTTTAAAGACCTTCCAATCCCAATCAGAATGAATAAACAATTAAAAGGAAAAAAGATTTTGCAGCCCATCTTTTCCTTTTGATTGTGTGTGTTCTATATAACACTTAAATTATTCTTTATGAAATTAGTATATCCAGGAAACTGGAGAATTATGCTTTCGGCTGAGAGAATGGAAAACATGTTAGCATTTCCTTTGTAGGGGTTCCAGGGCGCCACAAGAGAGTTCTAATGCGCTGCTCTCTGTGTTCTGCCCAGATCTTTTTCAGCTTATTCTAATGCTGGAGCAATAATTAAATGCTGCTTAGTCTTTCCTGTGTCCTACACCTCACTGCAAACACGTCGGCAGAGAAAGCAGACGTTCGTAATTTCTCAATATAAAACAGATCCTGCCAGGGAGCCTGCCAAACCCCACTAACCGTGACAGTCAAATCAATGCATGTTTGGTTGAAATTTTTATTTTTGCCTTTGCTCTGTTTTCTGTGCTCTGGTATCTGTTGTCCCCCATGGCTTATCACCTTATGGCCTGACAGTTTCTGACATTGACAAGACTTCCTGCCTACCTTTGTAATGTATACGCATGACCATATGACTGTAACAGAAAATGACATTTGACTCAGTAAATATTTGCTTTAGGTCCACTCCATCTGTTTTACAGACTCCTTTTCCTTTGCCTTCCTTTATCATTTTGTAAAACATATGTACTTTTAGCTTTTGTCTAGAAGCTACAAATCTTTGACTCATGTGTATTTCAGCTCCTCGGCTAGGGATCTATTATTGACCCTGGGGATTTTGTTCTCTTGTTCATTTGTAGCCATACCGTACAACATGGCTACCCTTGGTAAACTGTAGCCATACCGTACAACATGGCTACCCTTGGTAAACTGTAGTCATACCGTACAACATGGCTACCCTTGGTAAACTGTAGTCATACTGTACAACATGGCTACCCTTGGTAAACTGTAGCCATACCGTACAACATGGCTACCCTTGGTAAACTGTAGTCATACCGTACATCATGGCTACCCTTGGTAAAATGTATCATACCGTACAACATGGCTACCCTTGGTAAACTGTAGGATGGCAATGGAGCTGTGAATTCGCTGATGCGGATGCTTAAAAAGAGCAGTTATATCCGATATTGTTTTATATATGCACACATACACAAAACTATGGACCTACCCAGAAGTCAACAGTGACATTATGACTTCAAGATTTGGTCATTGATAAAACTGTCTCTGATACCTTTGTTGAATGGTTAAGCTTTATAGATCTGACTCAGGTTAGGAATCTCCCATTTTTCAGTAATCAGTATTACAGTTTTGGAAAAAGCTATTTCTTTTCCTTTGGGATAAGTGTCCAAATAATGGAATTTACCTTATATAGTTTGTTATATTTCTGGTACTCTTTCCGTGTGGTTTTGAGTTATATAATCTTGTTTTTACTGCTGGTGGCTTGTATTTTTTTTAACCACATTTTATTTTATATTATTTTAAAACCATTAATCTAAAATAGATTGACTTGTCTGTGGAAAGTGAAAAACTCTGTAATTTTAATTTCTTTTTTTACATGCTATAACTTTGATATATGTTTAAAAACCCTATCTTTGTAGAATTATTGGTTGCATTGTTTTGTTTTATATCATATTAAACTGTCCATCTTTATCTCTATAAACTGAACTTTTCTGCAATACTAAAGAAAAAGTATCCTAACACTTGTTGAGGTGTTAAGAACAATGTGACCCAGGAACTACTGCAGTAAGAGGCCTCCACAGTAGAGCGACTGGCCTGAGCTTGACACACTCCAGAAATGTGCAGTATGGAAAGGTAGTAGATGGAAATGCAGACGAGGAGACTGTGACATCATAGC